ATATGGTAGTTTTATTTTTAGTGTTTTGAGGAACCTCCATACTGTTTTCCATAGTGGCTGCACCAATTTACAATCCCACCAACAGTGCATAAGGAGGAACCCTTTTATCTTTATCAACTTAGTCCTATAATCACGAAGCTGACTTTGAAGTCAAAACTTAAAATGAAAGGTTAAGAGCCATTGTCACTTGGTGAGCACTTAATACGGTAAAATATTCTTGGAAATGATGAAATCTACACCTTTTCAAAAGCACCTTTATGGGAGTAGAGCATTTCCTTATTTAACTACATGAACTCCTCTGATGGGGATTTTATACCTCAAACTACTCTAGAAGTTATGGTTTGTCTTTTCCCCCTGCCTTCTGCAAACTTGTCATAACCACCCCACTGAGGATCCTAACCTCCATTTCCTTTCTCTGTAACTAAACGGAGAGCTGAGAGCTTTGATGCCAGAGCAGAAGTTTAGAATCTACAGCGTAGCAGAAGTGGAGAACAGATTTCAGAGAAGTCCTAACAATGGGGATAATAAAACCATAAATACAGGACTGAGCTAAGTACTAGTTGAAATCAATTAGGGTAGAAGAAAGAAGGCATGAATTTCTAAGTGGGTGGTACTAAATTTTCTAAAATCTTGTCTCAGTATTTTTAAGTGCATAAACATTGGAAATACTAGAATGCATTATTTCCCCCCAATTTTTTTTATTGTAAAGTACGTATAACATAAAATTTGCCACTGTAATCATTTTTAAGTATACAGTTAGTGGTATTAAGTTCATTTATATTGTTATGCAACCATCACCACCCTTCATTTCCAGAACTTCATCATCTAATAAAACTGAAACTCTACCCAGTAAGCAATAACTTCCCATTCCCTGCACTTAAGAATCTCACATAAGTGGAATCGTACAGTATTTGCGTTTTTGTGCATGGCTTATTTCACTTATCATAATGTCCTCAAAAGTTCATCCATGTTGTAGCATATGTCAGAATTTCCTTCCTTTTAAGGCTGAATAATATGTATGTGAGGTCTGACAATTAAGTTGGTGAACTCATCCTAGAAAAAGTGCTGCATATCTCATTGCTGGATATCACTATGGTCACCTTTGAAGTACTCCCCTTGAGGGGCTATGCACCAGTGCCAGCGCCTAATCCACCCTTCAAAGCAATTTTGGAACTCTTTTTCTGGAATGGCCATCAGAGCTGTCATCATATTACCCTTGATGTCCTGAATGTCATCAAAATGTCTCCCTTTCAGTATTTCCTTTATCTTTGGGTAAAGAAAGAAGTCATTAGAGGCCAGATCAGGTGAGTAGGGAGGGTGTCCCAATACAGTTATTTGTTTTCTGGCTAAAAACTCCCTCACAGGCAGTGCCGTGTGAGCTGGTGCATTGTCATGATGCAAGAGCTCCTTCGGGACCATTTTTGCGCACACCTCTCTCATGCCAAGATTTTCAGTTAAGATTTTCCTATCTGTTTCTCTATCAATGTTTACTTGGTCTGCTATGCTTCTCACTGTCAGCCGACGATTTTGACGCACAATTTGAGGAATTTTTGTAATGTTTTCATCAATGACGTGTTCTCTCCCCTCAGAAAAATGTTTAATCCATTTGTACACTGCCGTTTTCTTCATGGCATTATCCCCATAAACTTGGACTAACCTGTTCCTGATTTCACTTCCAGTCTTGCCAAGTTTAATGAGAAATTTATGTTTGTTCGTTGCTCTAATTCAAGCTCAGACATTCTCGCGACGACACACAAAAATTCGCAACAATAATGAAAGCCACCCAGTGTGACACTACCACACGATGACACGAACACAGCTGTGAGACACTGATATACCAAGGTTATGAAACCTTACCAAGCTATTTGTACAGTGCTGCCAATGTAAGCACACAGTGGCAAGTTCATGAACTTAATTGTCAGAACTCGTATATAACATTTTGCTTTTCCATTCACCCATCGGTGGATACTTAGGTTGCTTCCATATTTTAGCTATTGTGAATAATGCTGCTGTGAACATAGGTGTACAAATAGCTCTTTAAGACCCTACTTTCAGTTCTTTGGGGTATATACTGAGAAGTGTAATTGCTGGATCATATATGTTACATAAAATTTCCTGGTGCCAAGAGACCAGAGAAAGAGGTTGACAACTCCATCATTACATTAAGAGTTTATTAAGGGAACTTACATATGAAGTGTGTCTTAGGCGTTGGCAAGATGACATGGATGTCTTCTGTACCTTCCACTCCCCCAGACTCTCTGTTCTATAGTTAAAAGCAGTGAGTCTAGGTGCTGGGGAAGCAATGTGTGTTTAAGGGGAGGGGGACCACCTGATGCCAATGCCCAGAGGCTGAAGAGCTGGTGAAGAGACAGATCATTTCAAGGGTGGCTCACGACAGAGTCCTTGTGTACATTCCCAGATCTGCATAGGGGAGGAGTCAAGATGGTAGATTAGCTTCAAGGCTGAGTCAGCTCTGTCCTCAATGCACAATATAGTAATTCTATTTTTAATTTTTTGAGATCCCACCGTACTGTTTTCCACAGAAGCTGTACCATTTTACTTTCCTACCAGCAGTGCCCAAGAGTTCCAATGGGAATGCATGTTTTAACAGTAAAAGTTTTTCTAGCAATGAAGTAATTGGTTGAATTTCTCACATCAATTGCCCTAAAATTCTAAGTATCGCTGTTCACCTAGTGGTAGTAACCCCTTAAATTGTAGTCATGTTATCTAGGAGAAATAAACTGCTCTTTAGTAGTAGTTCCTGCTAAAGTATGAGAACCCCCATTTTTCATATCAAAATATTTAAAAACATTCCCTTTTGATGGGAATTAATGAAGAAAATAATGACTAAAAGCTACTACAAATTCATTGCTTTGCTTTTTAAAAAATCACTATAGCATCTACATACACTTTGAAAATGTGCTAACCATTCATTTTACAGACTAGTCCCTTATCTAGGTTTGTGGGCCCCAGGCTGTAGCCTGTGACCTACAAGCTAGAAGGATCTGGTTTGGAGATCCAGCTCTTAGGGAGCTAAAAAAGCTTGTCTTCTGTTCACTGCTAGTCTTCAGCACCTAGAAAAGTGCCTAGCATGTAATGGTGGTACTCAATATATAGTTGTTGAAAAAAAATAATGAATTGGATATGTGGCTCCTTGCTGTTTTTGGCCCAGCTAATGTTGGGGGCAGGGGGGTGGGGAATTGTTTTGTTTTTGGCTTTCCTTTAGTTGTACAGGTTAACAGTATTAGGTCATGTGGTTTTGAGATCTATAAGTATTTATCATTTCATTCCATTGAAGTGTTCGATGTAGTTTCCAAACTTTGAATTAGTGATTTCGGCCCTGTTTGCTACATTTTTTTCTTGAGGCAAAGTAATCATTTAATAATATTTTCTTTAAAAAAATTAAGTCTCCTTGGTTTTCGCACTTCAGTTAGTCTTTCATGTTGTAACAGCTCCACCTTGTGAATCTTTAGGGTATTGCTACTGGAAACTTTAAAAGCCATGACTGTTCTCGGAACATAAACATACAAATCTTACATTTTAATACCGTAGTGGTAGTAGACAGACTGGAAAGTTCTGGAAAACTTTTAGTGACTAGAATGAAATTTAACCAAAAATTGGGTCTGAGGTGTGTACCCTGAAAAATTAATATTACTCTTTCTAAAACCATCCAGTTATTATTTTACAAGGATAGAGCAGTTTATTCAGTCCTAGATTTAAATAATATCTCCATTCTTTGTGTTTTTTATGTTGTTAGCAAGGAGACTTGGAACAGAAACCCATGGGATGCTTTAGTCTCCATTGGTTTGACCAAGAACTTAAATGAGTGGCAGAAGTTTTATACTCTTGAATATAAATCTGTAGCTTTTCTGCTTGGTTGAAAGTAATGGCAAAGCAATTGGCTTGAAACCTTTGACTTATTCCCTTGTAGTTTACCAGTCCCTGTTTTTTAAATGCAAAGAGGCCAAGAAGTAATTCTAAAAAGTTGGGTAACTAAGTGATTTTTATTTCAAATTAACTTTTAAAAATATACATTGTATAATAGAGTAATTGCAGATTTGTGTGCCCTTTATACAGGCTATAAACTGAACAACTGCATTTAAAGTTTTATTCCTTGGAAAAAAATAATTTTCGGACTCCTTAAAGCTCATGTCAAGTTGATATTTGACTTGGCTGGGCAAAATAAGATGACAAAGTCTGATTTTCTTTCATTGTGTTTTAAAACAATGAGCATTTGGAAATTCAAAAAAAATATATCCTCTGTTTTAAAGTAGTCAGTTTAAGGCTGTAAACTAATTATACTTGAACTACCATTGGTTAAAATATTTTTGGAACGTGTGATTTTATCTTCAGTGTCAAACTTCTTGTCCTTTTGAGGAGTAATTGATTTTAAAAACAGCCAGATTGGGAGAATAATGTGGCTAATTGAGCTGACTGATTTTGTTTGAGGCTAAAGCTAAAGTATGATAAAGTAATTAAACTGATTTGGGATTTGTCTTATAAGCCACCTCTGAAATAGGCAATCCAAAAATATTTTGAGTAGTGGCAGTCGCTGGAAGAAATGAATAGCCTTTGAAGATGGTTGCATTGAAGATGACCTTTCTCAGAAATATGAATTCTGTTATGTTTAAAAACTGTTTCCTTTCTTCACCGAAGCATTCTTTGTACACACAGCCCAACTATTTTATTATGAAAAGTTTAAAATATCCAGAAAAAAGTGAAGAATTTATACCATGAACAACCATACACCCATCACCTTGATTCTGCCATATTTTTGCAGAATATTTTGCAAAAATAATGTTTTGCTATATTTGTTTTATCTCTTCATCTATCAGTCTTATTTTTTGATGCATTTTATTGAAAATCCATTGACTTCAAAGATCCGATACAATGAGCTGTTGAACTTTGGAGGAACTAGGGCATGCTTAGTGAATAGACCAAATTAGACCCGGTGACCATCTCCCCTTCTCTTTCAGGATGTGTTCCACATGGTGGTTGAAGTACCACGCTGGTCTAATGCAAAAATGGAGGTATGTTTTGCCTAACGTTCATAGTCAGACATAAGATACTAGTTTTGATCTAGCCACACTGATTTGCTCAAGGGTTAAACAGCTAAAGTTCAAGGTTTTTCTCTATCTAGTCCCAATCTATTTTCCAGTTTCTTCTCCCATTGCCTACTACTTTTCCCTCTGTGCTCCAACTAAACGCAACCGTTTACAATTTGCAAGTTTGTTACAGACTTTCCTTCCCCACACCTTTGCTTTTGGAGTTCCCAAAGCCTGGAATTACCTTTTTCTCCTCTTGTTCTTCTTAAGTCCATCCTTGACTCCTCCACAGAGTCGATGGGCTTTGCTTTAGTTACCCCAGCCATAAATGATCTTATTGGAATTCCTGTTGTATTTTGTTAATTAAGTGCTTTAAAGGAAAGCTGAAGTTGGATAATATTTATTTTGTCCTTTTAAAAAATATATTTTTATTTCTCAAATGTTAGAATTTATTCCAGATAAGTTTAGTTTTTGCTTTCTGGAGTTAGTAAGTGTTCCTTTTCCCTTCTTGATAGTTCCTGTACACCTCAAATGTTTTCCACTTAAAGGCTGATTGTGGAGAGACTGTTATTTCAAATTATAAAAATGTTAGGAGTAAAATGTATCATTAAAATTGAGCTAGGGTGTGTGCATTCCATAATTAATTTTCTAAAACCTTTAATTGAATGGTATTTCATATCCAAATATACAATGATTTGAAATTTTTTATTTCAGATTGCTACAAAAGACCCTTTAAACCCAATTAAACAAGATGTGAAAAAAGGAAAACTTCGTTATGTTGCAAATTTGTTCCCTTATAAAGGATATATCTGGAACTATGGTGCCATCCCTCAGGTATGTCTCTGTGCAATTGCTAGAAATGTACTTTCTAGCTTACAAAAAATAACCTACTGCTGTTAGTAAAAAAAAGATTTAAACACCTTCAGAAAGTTTTTGCTCTAATAGATTTTAAAAATATAAGGCACAATTAACTCATTTTAATACTTCCTTGAAAAACTTATTTTCAAGATAAACTGATAAGGTAAATGTTTAAGTTTACATTTGAAAGTTTATTCTTTTCTGAAATATTTTACCTTTCTATATGTACTAGTTATAAACTATACAAATTTTTTTTATACAGAATGGGTGACAGATCTGTTACGAGAGACAGTGTAGGCTAGTGGTTATAAAAGCATTGATTTTTGGGGGCACCAGAGCGATTCAGGTTCAAATCCCAAGGCTGCCTCTTCCTAAATTACCTAATTTGCCTCTGTTTCTTCCTCCCTGAGACATGACTATTTCCCCCTGAGATATTAGTAGTACTTAGCTCATATGGCTATTGTGAGGAATAAAGCACCTACGTCTCACAGCTGTTGACCTTTATGTTTAGAGTCCTGATTCCTTACTTAAGCCAAGCTCTCTGTGGTAAAGTAGGAATGGGATTCTATTTTCCTAAACAGTCAGCCCTTTCAGGAGGGATGTGTATCTGTATTGTTTACCAGTTTATCCCCAGCACAATGCCAGTGTGTAGTAGGTCCTTATGTAACTCTTGAATGAAAAATTACTAGAATCATGTCTATTATGTGTAAATGACAGATTTAATTCTGATTTGGTTAGGGTAATGCTGTGGCACTTATGACTTTTATACAAAATATTCAATTTGTTGTTTTCCTGTTGATAAATGGTTTGTTTTTATTAATCATTAAGTCTATTAAGTGGAATCTGTTGTGAAACAATTGATAAGTTACAAGAACATAGGTCGAATTCATCTAACTTGTTAGGTAATTACAAAGTCGTTCATTTGCCTTAATTATAGCACTTCACTTTGTACTTCAGTTGATTTAGCCTTTAGTTGGTTTAGTCTTTAGCCTTGAAATATCATCCCGCTGGGAAAACATTGCTGAAATTCTTCTTCTGTAGGTTGGATTTGGCTCTGTTAGATCCAGTTTTCCTTTATCAACCTTTTATATTTTTGCCTTTACTCCAGCTGAGTAGGCAAATAAATCCAAGAAATATGTTTTGGATTGGGGGAGAAAAGAACCAAAACAACAGCTACATTTTAAACTTGACTTCTTGGCAAACATAGACCATCTGTTCTTTTGTGAGATGCTCTGCAAGGACTCTCTGCAATTTAGCAGGAAAGAAAGCCAGCAATTTAAAGCTTCAGAAAATCCTGACTGAACTTTTCAATCTTGGCTCCTGGTCAACGATGATACTTTTACCAACAGAGCAAATAGTTCCTGTTTTAGTATTACTGCCTACCTACCTCTGCTTTGGAAATTTACTTTAATGAAAATGTAGTTAGTAGAAGATAGTAAGTACAAATAATTTCTAAAAGCAGTTTTCTTTTAATATGTTTTCTTAAAGTAAGTATTTGAGTCTATATCTGTGTTCGCATTTGCTTCGGTTATTAGGTGGTTGGGTTTTGTTTGTTTTAAATAGGATCATTATCCATTTTAAAGCTTAAATATAGTTTAGCCTTCTATGCATAATAGGAGCCCCGGGATTTAATTAAAATTTTTGTGTGTAGTTAAGATTCTGAGATGTGAATAAAGAATTTTTTTAATGAGGAAAAATAGCTGAAGATTAGTATTTTTGCAGAAAAGCTCATGGGATGTTATCTTTTAATGTCAGCATGATCCACTCTGTCAGTAACATGTATAGGAATGCTCTAAGCCTTTTTATTTTTTCTTTTAGACTTGGGAAGACCCAGGACATGATGACAAACACACTGGCTGTTGTGGTGATAATGACCCAATTGATGTGTGTGAAATTGGAGGCAAGGTAATGGAATCTGAAATGTTTTTCTTTAGTAGTCAGATGATATTAGTGAAATATACAAAGTTTATACTTTAAAAAACATTAGAAATAATGATGTCACTGTGCGTGATTCCATTTTATTTTAAGCATTTGTATAGTTTGTATATTTAAACCTAGCCTTAAATAAAGTGCATATATGTATATATGACTATACATATATATGGAAGAAGTGGACATGTTCTGCATTGCTTTAGTGGTCAATAGGTGAAGCGTACCTAGGAGGTAAATTTCATCTCAGAACAAGGCAAACCTTGTCTAATGATTTGGAGTGATCAGAATTGAGCCAAGCCAAATAACCTACGAGCTGGAGGATTATGGTAGGGATGCCTCTCTCAAGTAAGGTTGCTCTAAGTTTCTGACTATAGTTACATTTCTTTATAATCTTTCTCAGGCTCAGGGAAATAATAAATAATGAAAAGAAAGTTGTCCTTCAGTTTCTTAAGTCATGAAGCTCAGTCATACTGTATGACCTGTCTAACTCACTGGCTTCTGTAAAATAAAAGGTAAAGAAAGCACATCGAAATATGTATTTGAAACAAATTATGGAGGGTTTATTCTTTGGCACAATTAGAGACAGTTACAAAAAAAATTACCCTGAACCATGTTACTGATAGTCTTAGGACCTGTAAGTAATAAGGGGTACCTGTTGTCGGCTTTGATAAGACTGACAGGCATTAACTTATTTAGCTTTTTAAAAATTGCTTAAAGGAACTATCTTAAGGTAAATTTGGAGGAACTTGCCTTCTTCCTTATTTCCTGTTATCCACCAAGTAAAGCATTTCTTCTAAAGTTTTGTTCTGTAGTGTTGTCCTGACTATGGTTATTGACTTTCAGGTGTGTGCAAGAGGCGAGATCATCAGGGTGAAAGTTCTGGGCATACTGGCTATGATAGATGAAGGGGAAACCGACTGGAAAGTCATTGCCATTAATGTGGATGATCCTGACGCAGCCAATTACAATGGTAAGGCTATTGGAAGAGTCTGAGGTCTCTGCACCTAAATCTGGTGCTCCATTCACCTGTAGTGACAGAATTGTAAGCTCATGCCTTTAGGCTGTTAAAGAATGGAGGAGCAAAACATTTGACAAAGCATTGTTATTTCTAATACCGAACTTCTATAATTAAGTGAACGTTCTCCTTCATTCTGGGAAAGAAAAAATCTGATAGCTTGTGTTACTGTTTTCTCCTTTCCTTCCCTACATACTTGCACTCAGTTCCTCTATTTATTTATTTCAATTGACATATAATCCACATATCATAAAAGTCACCATTTTAAATTGTATAATCCTATGGTTTTTAATATATTCACTAGGTTGTGCAAACATTGTGCAAACATCACCACTATTAATTCCAGAACATTTTCATCACTCCAACAGGAAACCCCGTACCCATTAGCAGTCATGCCCTAGTCCCATGTCTCTCAGTCCCTGGCAGCCATTAATCTATATTGTCTGTCTCTGTGGATTTACCTGTTCCGAACATTTCACATAAATGGGTTCATGTGATGATATGTCTGGCTTCTTTCATTTAACATGTTTTCAGGGTTCATCTACATTGTAACATGTATCAGTACTTCATTCCCCCCTTTTTTGGTGGTAAAATTAACATAACATAAAATTCACCATTTTAACTATTTTAGAGTGTACAATTTGGTGGCATTTAGTACATTTGCAATGTTGTACAACCACCACCAACCATGATCACGTTCCAGAACATTTTCACCACCCCAAAAGGAAACTGTACCTTTAAGCGGTCACTCCCTGTTCCTTCTTCCTCCCACGCCCTTACAACCGTGAATCTGCTTTTTGTCTCTATGCATTTTTCTTTTTTTTTTTTTTAAAGAGTTTTATTGGGGAATTAGGGGATGGGAACAGCGCTGGGGAATTGGGGAAAGGGGAACAGACAAGTTGCTGTCCTTTTGTTCTTCAGTCTGGTTGTTGAGGATGTTGCTTCACTGGCCCAAGTTGGCGCCATCATTGCACTCTTCCCGGGTGAGGCAGATCAGTCGCCGGCTTCTGGACGGCCGCTCATGCTGGCTGCTCACGCCTCACGCTGGCTGCCGGCCACACACGGTAGCCCATGGCAAACCCACTGCAGCAGGGGTTGCAGCCTACACCGTCGCCGACGACTCACGGCAGCCCAGCTCCAGGTTGAGCTGTTGTTCAGCATCTTAGCTGTAGAGGGCAGTGTCACTGGCCCTCATGTGGGATCCGAACCAGGGTCCTCTGGCGTCCCAAGCCAGCTCTTAACCAACGCGCCACTCGGCCGGCCCATCTATGCGTTTTTCTATTCTGGATATTTCATATGTGTGGAATCATAAAATATGTGGCTTTTTGTGTCTGGTTGCTTAGCTCAATGTTTTTTAGGCTCATTCATGTGGTAGCATGCATTAGTACTCACTCCTTTTTATGGGTGAATGCTACTCCATTGTCTCTGTTGTATGAATATGTACCATATTTTGTTTATCCCTTCATCTGTTGACATTTGGGTTGTTTTTGGCTATTAGGAATTATGCTGCTGCTATACAAGGTTTTGTGTAGACATAGGTTTTAAATCTCCTTGCATGTATATACCTAGGAGTGGAGTTGCTGAGTCATATGGTAACTTATGTTTAAGCTTTTGAGGAGCTGTCAAACCTTTTTCCTAAGCCAGCTGCACATTTTACAGTCCTGCCAGCAGTGCATAAGGGTTCCAATTTTTCTTCTTCCTTGCCAACACTTATTATTAATCTTTTTTATTATAGCCATTTTAGTGGGTATATCTTTTTATTGTTGCATTATGAAAGTTCTTTATATTTTTATCAGATATATGATTTGTCTATATTTTCTCCCATTTTGTGGATTGTCCTTTCATTTTTTTAAAATCAGTTTTTATTTATTTATTTATGTATTTTATTGGGGAACAGTGTGTTTTTTCAGGACCCATCAGCTCCAAGTCAATCTAGTTGTGGAGGGCGCAACTCAGTGGCCCATGTGTGGATTGAATCGGCAACCTTGATGTTATGAGCCTGCACTCTAACCACCTGAGTTAACCAGCCACACCTGTCCTTTCTTTTTTTTAATGGTGTCCTTTGAAATACTCAGGTTTTTCATTTTGCTGTACTCTTATCAAAAGTTTTTGCTGCTTTTTGATGTCGTATCTAAGAAACCACTTCTTAATCCAAGGTCACAAATATATACATTTATGTTTCCTTCTAAGAGTTTTATAAATTTAGCCCTGACATTTAAGTCTTTGATGTATTTTGAGTTAATTTTTGTATATGGTATGAACTAGTTCAGTATCATTCTTTTGCATGTAGATATGCAATTATCCCAGAACTATTGGGTCGTCGGGAAGGTCATGACGCATTTTTGCATTGAAAAACATAGAAAAATACGTCATGACTTTCCCGACAACTCCATACTCATTGAAAAGTCTGTTCTTTTCCCCAGTGAATTGTCTCGGCACCATTATTGAAAATCAACTGACTATAAATGTATTGGTTAGTGAGATAAGTTGATTGTCTGAAGTCATCTTTGAAAAAATATATTTATACCCAGAAAAATTACTGTTCATTCCAGGGCTTGTTTAGCATGTCTGAGGGAATTTCTGTGGGTTGCTGTCAGAGTACTTATTGTACAGTTCAAGTGGTGTGGAGAAGGGAAGAGATCGTAGGAGTTGGCATGGTTAGGGAAGGCCCAAGTAGAATTGGATTATAACCCAAAGTATAAAATAAATATCCATGAGTCCATTCTGATATAAATAAATGATCGAATAAATAAACAAGTAGGGTAAGAACAGACAAATCTCCCGTGCAGAAGAATTCCAAATAATTTATGTAAATACTTTCACCCTCAAGTACAGGCTGTGCACAGTGACCTCTTTCAGAAGAGTCCAGTATGGAAAGGATAACTTGACAGCTGAGAAACCTAACAAACACTACCTCAGCCAGGTTATCAATGTCAACATCAACAGTGATGAGTCATCTTGAGAGCATGTACTCTTGATGTGCTTTGAATGGCATTTTATCTCTGTGGACTTCTTCCCTCAAACCCAGTACCCTAGTCTAATCTTGAGAAAAAGATAAGACAAGTCCCAACAGAGGAAGGGATATCTTACAAAATGCCTGATCAGCACCCCTCAAAACAATCAACGTCATCAAAAACAAGTTTGAGAAACTGTCATAGCCAAGGAGCCTGAGGAGCCATGACGACCAAACGTAATGCAGTATCCTAGTGGAGTCCTGGAATAGAAAAAACAGACTTGAGTTGATGTATCACTATTGGTTAATTGTGACAAATGTCTTTGTATAAGATAGTAATAATAGGGGAAACTATGTGCAGGTTGGGTATCTGGGAACTCTGTAATATCTTCACAACTTCCCTGTAAATCTAAAACCCTTCTAGGACTTGCAGTGACTAAACAGGGGAGCAGGCCTAGGAAGCGATTTGATGCTTGGCAGGTTGGACCTACCCTGACTGGGAGCAAAGCTGGGCGGAGACCCTTTCAGGAAGGGGCATTGTTGTGTTTGATTCAGACCAAGCTTAGTGGCTAATTACTGAAGTCTTGAGGGAATGTGGAAGGAATGTTGCTTGTCTGCATTAAGCTACCCCTCAGTTGGGGAAGATTATAGCCGTACTTGACAGAGATTGAGGTCCCCTGTATCCAGAATGAAAAGAGGGTTGCACCAAATATTTGTGGTAGTGTCATATTTTCTGTTCCAAATATAAAAGATATAGCACATGAATACTGGCTTCACTCTGAGGTATTGGATAGTTTACTAGTCCAGTATGGAGTGGTGGAAAGCTGTGAGCAAGTGAACACTGACTCAGAAACTATAGTTGTAAATGTAACCTCATCCAATAAGGACCAAGCTAGACAGCCTTTAGACAAACTGAATGGATTCCAGTTGGAGAACTTCACGTTAAAAATGGCCTACATCCCTGATGAAATGGCTGCCCAGCAGAATCTCTCGCAGCAACTCTGAGGTCTCCATGGGTTCAGGCAGAGCAGCTCATTGAGGCAGGGGTCTCCAGAAACAGTGTCCACACAGAAACTGTGTGACTTGCCTCTATGCCTGCTGGCTCTCACCCAATTCATAGGAGCCATTATTGGAAAAGAAGGTGCCACCATTTTGAATATCACCAGTCTAAAATCGATGTCCAGGGCCGGCCGAGTTGCTCAGTTGGTTAAGAGCTTGTTCAAGAGTGCAAGCTCTGAGCAACAGCAGTTTGAGTCGCAGCCAGAGCTGAGCAGCCGCTGAGCTGCCAACAGGTGGCAGGATGGCTCAGCTAAAAATAAAATAAAATAAAATCGATGTCCAAAATCAAGAGAATAATGGTGCTGCTGAGAAGTCAATTACTATCCTCTATACCCTTGAGGGCACCCTTGTGGCTTGTAAATTTATTCTGGAGATATGCAGAGGAAAGCTCATGATAAGAAATTCACAGAAGAGGTTCCCTTGAAGATTTTAGCCCCTAACTTTGTAGGCCATCTTATTCATAAGGAAGGAAGAATCCTTAAAAAAAAAGAAGACACAGACACGAAAATCACGATATGTCCTTTGTAGGAACTGACCCTGCACCATTGCAGTTAAAGACATCGTTGACACATGTGCCAAAGCTGAGGAAGAGATAATGAATAAAAGCTTGGAGCCTTATGAAAATGATATTGCTTCTATGAATCTTCAAGCACATTTAATTCCTGGATTAAATCTGAATGCATTGGGTCTGTTCCCACCCACTTCAAGGATGCCACCTCCCTCCTCAGGGTCTTCAGCTATGACTCCTTACCCACAGTTTGAGCAGTCAGAAATAGAGACTGTTCATCTGTTTATCCCAGCTTTGATTGGTTTTTCTTGTTGGGATTCTACAATGAGACATTAACTTGAGCATAATGTTGCTAATGCCTTTGGAAGTGCTCTGCTCCAGTTACTCTCTGAAGATGGAATATCTTAGGCTGGTGATGGAAGTCTTTACATGCACTTCCAGTGAATCCTATATTTCATACTGCAACTTCTCACCCATGATTAGAAAACAAAGACTGCTTTGTAGACTCCAAAGACTCACCCAGTGCAGAGCGACTGGTATACCAGGTCCTTGATGAGCTTTGGGGCCACATCTACCCCTAACAACTTCAACTTCAATGTTATCAGACTAATTAATAAGGTGTACATGTCAAAGACTTGGGTATTCCTCCAGGAAATCACGTGATTTCTGGGTCATTTTAAAGGTGGCAGCCTCAGAACTGCAGAGGACAGCATTGTGATTTATCTGTTGGGTTGTAACTTACCTGTTGGGTTATAGGTCTTATTAAGGCATTTGATTCTGGTGACCAAATGGTGAGTTCTTGTGCAAGAGTCAACAACTTTACACTGCTCACAAGAGTGCTGATGGTTATAATGTTTAATGAGATTACAGCAACCAGCCTACAGCCATCTAGTGGTAGTTTGTACCTGATTTCAGATATCCTGGCAGTGGTCCATTCTTTCTCCTACACATTGTATTTTCTTAATCACAGCTGTGTAAGCTAGGAGATGTCAAAGCCCTATTATTCTGTCATTACCATGTAGTGCCAAGAAAGGGTTTTTTGTTTGTTAAGATTTGCCTTAAGATTAATAAGAAAGATTTGTCTTCTTACTGGAAAGAGCATTGGACCAGGTGCTGAGATGTAGATTCTTTGACTTATTAACCATATATTAACTAGTGAAAAGTACATAATTATCTGTAAACATCATGATTTTGTGGGGGCAGTCAAGTGAGAGAGACCATAGGTGAAAAGCTTTGCAAGTAAAAAGCACCAGATGAAGGGAGGATAAACTGCCACTTTCACCTTCTACACAGAAATAGTTTTCAGATATGCCAAATAAAATTGGTTTTTAGAACATTTGTAGAAAATTGGTATTATGATCAATATCACTTTGACCCAGAAATTCTACTTCTAAGTAGCTGTTTCACAGAATTCCTCATAAATATATACAAACACACATTACAAAGATATTCTTTGCAGCAAAAGCCAGGAAAGAGCTAAAATATCCATCACCAGCTAAATGGTTAAATAATTATGGTCTGTCCAGGCAATGGGATACTGTGTGTGGCCATTACAAAGGATGAGGAGGACCTGCGTATACAGATATGGAAAGACCACTAAGAATGGTATGACGCCTTTCTGCTGTTTTTTAGCCTTACATGATCGCATATATGTTTAAATATGTGTATATATGTATATGTATAGAAATTCATGGTTAAAGGACTAGAAGAACACCAGTCCTTTAAAGTGCAATGGGAAGAAGGACAAAGGGAGACTTGGCTGTTTCAGGTGCTTCTGTCTGTATTATTTAAATTTAGTCAGCGAGAATGCATTCATACTATTTGTTAACCCCTTGATGGTACAACTGTGATTCTGTTGCTCGTGTGTCCATTTTCTCATGTGCTACTTATCCAAGAGCACACATACTAAAGGGCATGTTGTGGCCACTGTTAGTGAAACCATATCTGTCATTATGTCAGCACCATTCTGCTAGGGCATCATTGCCCTGCAGTAAAGGTTATTAGAACCCTGAAACTTCCCTGAGTGGCTGGTCCCATGGTGGAAGTACAATAGTATGCAGTTTTCCCAAAGCGTCAACCCAAGGCAGTGTCCGTCTGTCATCAGTTATTATCTGACGAGTTTATCAGACTTTCTATGTAGAGAGTACTCTGGACTAGCCACAGCTTCAAAAGGGACACACACACAGCCATGGGACAGGACCACCTACCCACTAAAGGAGCGACAGGTTGCATGTCGCTCCTCTTTGCCATTGTGGGACCCATGATAGCCAGATCCCCTCCCATCTGAGTTGTGGGAATCAATGAAACTGAGCATATCCTGCATGGTTGTGGGGTACAGCACTGCCTGGCTGGTTAGAAGCCGAACCCAGGAAGGAACCGCACAAAATGGGTGCTGTCTGTGGTGGGATCGTGATGTGGCATCAGGAGGCAGTTTTAGTAGCTGCAGACCACTGACTTTGTCTCTGTGAACTTAACGGAAAACATAAGGGAAAAATATTGACAGGGTTCTTTTCTTCCTGCTTTGTTTTCTGGGTTTGATGTCAGGGTTCCTCAGTCTGGATCCAGCTTACCTTTTAATGTGTGGTTCACAATCAGTTAATCAGCTCTTATATTTTTTCCATGCTGTGGTATAATACAAAAATATATTTGATCTTTGTCTCTAGTTCTGGCAAAAAAAACAAACAAAAAAACCTTGGAATTTCCTGAGTGATGAGTGTCTTTTGTTACTCAGGATGAATCATGCCTGAGTTTATGCTAATAAGGTGACTTCGGGTGGGGCCCCTCGCTAGCTTGAGACTGGGACTGGTCCAAAGAAAGGCCAAGTGACTAGAGGGTGGGAGCTTTCCATTCCACCCACCAACCTCTGGGACCAGGAGGGGAGGCTGGATATGGAGCTCTATTAACACTGGTATAATGACATGTGGAGCACTTCTGAGTTGGTGAACACCTCAGTGTGCTGGGAGGGTGGCAGGGCTGCCCTTGAGAGGGCATGGAAACTCCATGCCCTGCCCGCCTCCATACTTTGCCCTACGCACCTCATCCATTTGGCGGTTCCTGAATTGTATTCTTTATAGTAAACTAGTAAACATACATAAAAGTGTTTTCCTGAGCTCTGTGAGTCATTCTGAAACCAGAGGCCAAACAAGTCTGGGGCTCGTGCTGCCTGCGCCGCCTCAGCCAATAGACTGACATGGGAGTTGAGCTGTAGAATAAGTGTTTATTATCAGAGCACCGGTGGTGTGAGAAGGCAGCAGGTTAACACCTCCCAAAACTGCCTTCACATTCTCAGACCAGCCTAGGATATTTAAGGGAAAATCTGGACATTCCTCCAGAGCCCAGGTGATGGTGGTTCTGGGAGTCTGCATGGATGGCTCTTCACATGGTTATCAACCCAGGAGCAATGATGACAGTAACCTGGAAAGAATGCTAGGCCATAGAGATTGTGATCAGTAAGCATTGGGGTATTATAAGTTTCAGGGTAATTTTCTAAAACAGGGAACTGGGACAGGGGACATTCTGAGCTCAAGCTGCAGGGGGATAATCTATTACTAAGCTATAGGGCAAGGAAAGGTGAGGCTGGGGATATGGCGAGATCTCTACTTATGGGGGTCCCAACTGGGCCCTGCTTCAATTCTAGCAAATTATCAAACCCCAAGAGAGAGTTGTAGAAAACCCTGATTTTTAGTAGTCAGAAGTATGGGTGGCCTGGAATCCGCCTCAAGTGGGGTAAGTCTTGTGAGACTGAATCCTTTAATTTGTGGGATTTGACCCTAATTCCAGTAGATAGTGTCATTATTGAATTGAATTGTTGGACACCCAGTTGGTGCCTGAAGAACAGGAGAATTGGTTGGAAAATTTGTTGGAAAACACCCCACACAGCATTTCAGATTTTTGGATTTTCAAATTATTTCTGTATTAAGTGACACATTTTATGTGAATTATAAGTTCCTTAAAATTTATCAGTGTTTAAACATTTCCCAGTTCACTTTGTAAACTTTCCATATTTTTAGTGGTACTGTAATAACAAAATGCATGATATTCTTTAACTATGTATATTATAAGCTGGACTTAAGCACAGTTATTTTAATAAGCTCCTGTTGTTGAATGTATTCCTCCTTCCCCAAATACTTTTCCTGGTTGTTATTTTTAGCACTTGTATTTTCCATTGGCTTGCATTGAGCAGGCAGCTTGGTCACTTACAGTTGAGTTTGTTGACATTGAGGCTAGCCATTGTTGGTGGTTGCACAGAAACTTTTAAAAGTTTTTTTAAACAGGACACTATTTTGTTGGCCAGAACGAAAGCCTTGTGGTGATAATGCCTATACTATAGAGTTAGAAAAGTCTAGTCGCATTTAATATGTAACCCATCAGTGCATAACAGTGTAATCCATTTTTCTTGTCTTTTAGTATGTAATTTAGTATGTAAATGTATATGATCTGGATGGAACCTCACCCTGTCTTTTTTTGTATCATCTATGCTTCTCATAGGCGTTATCCACACTTGCTACACTCTTCTTTGCTTATGTAGCCTCCAGTCATTTCTCCCTTCTGTTATCTAATAGAAGTTACTACTGTGCTGGTTGTTCTCTTACTACTCAACATCAGAGCTATTCTAAGGCGCTAGAGGATTTCCTTTTAATGGCTGTATGTGTTCTCTTCTCAACAAGGTGGTCAGCTCTAACATCTTGAATTTTTATTATACCCATCCCATAGCTCCCTCAAAATAAATACTTAATATTTTTATCACATGAATAATTACATATGCATCTTGCAATCTGCTTGTTCTCTTCTAAGATATTAATGATGTCAAGCGGCTGAAACCTGGCTACCTAGAAGCTACTGTGGACTGGTTTAGACGGTACAAGGTTCCTGATGGAAAACCAGAGAACCAGTTTGCTTTCAATGCAGAATTTAAAAATAAGGTAATGTTTCATTCAGAACTGTAGCTTTAGGTCTTTTTCTATTGAGACTTACAATTTAACCTGTTATTACCATTTAAAGACTATATGATTATAAAAAAATGTCTAAAGACACGACAGTCTTGATGTTGACTCATTCATTTAAATGTTTTCTATTTTTGACACAAGGAAATGATTCAAAAGAGACAAAGTTATCAGGCTTTGGGAAAATGTTGATACTAAGAATACTTTTCTATCATTGTATTTTATTTTTATTTTTATTTATTTTTTGCTGAGCCATCCTGCCACCTGTTGGCCACTCAGCGGCAGCTCAGCGGAAATCGAACCTGCGACCTTGTCGCTCAGAGCTCGCACTCTTAACCAACTGAGCTACTTGGCCGACCCCTTTTCTATCATTATAATGCATATCTCTTCAAATTATAGGACTTTGCAATGGATATTATTAAAAGCACTCATGACCATTGGAGAGCATTAGTGACGAAGAAAATTGATGGAAAAGGAATCAGTTGGTAAGTGTTGACTGTTCTCTGCATGTTTAACACACAAAGCAGACCAGCTTGCGCCAAAGATTTTAATAACCATAACACACTACCATTACTTTCACTTAGAAAAGAGATAACCAGTTTTGTCAGCAAGTGCTCACATGAGTGGGAAGGTAGATATAAAACAACTGAAAAGTGCCCCTAAGATACTCTCTGAACAAGTACAAACTAAAACTACACGAGGGACAGTGAGATCAGAGCTTTGTGAGGGTAACTGGGAAAGACTGCCTAGCATCATGGTGTTCAGAATGTAATGGGTAAAATAAGGTTGAGTGCAAGGGTTGGTATTCTCTGATGAAAATATATAAGGTGCATCGCAACTAAACCACTGTCTACAGTGCACACAAAATTTACTGCCACTAACAATAATAGCTAATATTAATTGAGCAGTGAATGTTTGCCAAGCATGCAACAGAGATATAGGGAGAGAAAACTTAACCAAAGTCATCCCACAAGAAGGGTTTCAGAGTTAGGACTCATATCCATGTTCAGGACAATATACTTCCTCTTAGATATTTAAAGATTTATAAGAGGATGTCCACTATCAGCACTTAACTAATGTTCTGGAAATAGTAGTCAATGAAGTAAATAGGAAAAATGATATGTTTTGATGCAGGAATATTAGAAAAGGGGGAGCTAATTGTGGCAGATAATATGATTGTGTACCCAGAAAACCCTAGAAAAAATAAAGAATTCAGCAAGGTGACCAGTTACAAAATGAATATATATGTACAGCTGATCTTTGAACAACATGGGTTTGAACTGCATGGATCCACTTACATGCAGATTTTTTTCAATAAATATAGTACTGTAAATGTATTTTCTCTTTCTTATGATTTTCTTAACATTTTTTTCTCTAGCTTTATTGTAAGACTACAGTGTATAATACATATAACATACAAACTATGTGTTAATCGACTTTATGTTATCATTAAGGCTTCTGGTCAACAGTAGGCTATTATTAAGTTTTTGGGGAGTCAAAGTTATATGCAGATTTTCAACTGTGTGTGGGGCTTGTACCCCTAAGTCCCACATTACTCAAGGGTCAACTGTATAAGTGAGATCATACTGTATTTATCTTTTGCTGTCTGATTTAACATAATGCCATCAAGGTCCACCCATGTTGTGAATGGCAAGATTTAATTCTTTTTTATGGCTGAATAATATTCCATTGTATATCTACCACATTTTCTTTATCCATTCATTCATTGATGGACATTTAGGCTGTTTCATGTCTTGGCTATTATAAATAGTGCTGCAATGAACATTTGGTACATATATGTTTCTGAATTAGTGTTTTCGTTTTTATCGGGTAAATACCCAGAAGTGGAATTCTGGATCATATGGTAGGTAGTTCTATTTTCAGTTTCTTGAGGAACCTCCATACTGTTTTCCATAGTGGTTGTGCATTTCCCATCAAGAGTACATAAGGGTTCCCTTTTCCCCACATCCTCACCAACACTTGTTAACTCTTGTCTTTTTGATGATAGTCATTCTAATAGTGTGAGATAATAATCTCATTGTGGTTTTGATTTGTATTTCCCTGATGTCTGGTGATCTTGAGCACCTTTTCATATACCTGTTGGTCATTGGCATGTCTTTGGAAAAATGTCTATTCAGGTCCTCTGCCTGTGTTTTAGTCAGATTGTTTATTGTTGTTGTTTATTTGTTTTGTTATTCAGTGTGAGAATTTTTTATGTTTTGGATATTAACCCCTTATCAGATTGTGGTTTGTAAATATTTTCTCTCATTTAGTAGGTTGCCTTTTTAGTTTTTTTAAAATTATTTATTTATTTTTTTTATTGGGGAATTGGAACAGCGCTGTGGAATTGGGGGAAGGGGAACAGACAAGTTGCTGTCCTTTTGTTGTTCAGTTTAGTTGTGGAGGACGTTGCTTCACTGGCCCAAGTTGGCACCATCATTGCACTCTTTCTGGGCAAGGCAGATCAGTCGCCGGCTTCTGGACGGCCGCTTACTGCAGCTGCTGGCCGCTCACACTGGCTGCTGGCCACACATGGTAGCCCATGGCAGCCCACTGCAAAAGGGGCTGCAGCCTACACTGTCGCGGGCGACTCACTGCAGCCCAGCTCCAGGTTGAGCTGTTGTTCAGCATCTTAGCTGTAGAGGGCAGTGTCACTGGCCCTCATGTGGGATCCGAACTGGGGCCCTCTGGCGTCCCAAGACGGCTCTTAACCACCGTGCCACTCGGCCGGCCCTAGGTTGCCTTTTCATTTTGCTGATGGCTTCCTTTGCTTTTTAGTTTCATGTAGTCCCGCTTGTTTATTTTTGCCTTTGTTGCCTTTGCTTTTGGTGTCAAATCCTAAATTTATCACCAAGACTGATGTCAGGGAGCTTACCTCCTATGTTTTCTTTTAGGAGTTTTATGGTTTCAGATCTGACATTCAAGTCTTCAATCTATTTTGATCTGATTTTTGTGTATGGTGTCCGATGATGGTCTAGTTTCATTCTTTTGCATGTAGCTGTTCAGTTTTCCCAATACCATTTATTGAAGAGACTGTCCTTTCCCCATTGTATTTTCTTGGCTCCTTTGTCATAGATTAATTGGCTATATATGCATGGGGTTGTATTGGGCTTTTTATTCATTTCCATTGATCTATGTCTGTTTTTATGCCATTACCATACTGTTCTGATTACTGTAACTGTGTAATATAGTTTGAAATCAGAACGTGTGATGCCTCCAGCTTTGTTCTTCTTCTGAAGATATTCGGGGCCTTTTGTGGTTCCATACAAATTTTAGAATTATTTGTTTTATTTTTGTGAAAAATGTCATTGGAATTTGAGAGGGATTGCATTGGTCTGTAGATTGCTTTGGGTAGTATGGACATTTTAACAGTATTAATTCTTCCAATTTCATGAGCATGAAATATATTTCCATTTATTTTAGTGGAAATTATTATATTTTATAATGTATATTTATATCTATATGGTATAATGTATGTATTATTTAGAAGATTAGTTTCTTCAATTTTTTTTTTTATTAATGTCTTAAAGTTTTCACTCTACAGACCTTTTATTTTTACCTCCTTGGTTAAATATATTCTTAGGTATTTTATTCTTTTTGATGCAGTTGTAAATGGGATTATTTTCTTAATTTCTCTTTCTGATCATTTGTTATTAGTGTATAGAAATGCAACAGATTTTTGTATATTGATTTTGTATCCTGCAACTTGAATAAACTTGAGGTTCAAGTAAACCAAACTTGAATCTTGTCTGGCCTACCACCTTAAACTTGTTTTCTAACTCTTAAGAGAGACGTTTTTGTGACTCATGACTACTTTTGTTTCATTTAATAGCATGAATACCACAGTGTCTGAGAGCCCCTTCAAGTGTGACCCTGATGCGGCCAAAGCCATTGTGGATGCTGTAAGTAAAAGTTTCCTTGAAAAAGAATGTACCCGGTGGCTAAAATATATGGTGCTGAATGGGTGGGGAGGTAATTCTTTCAACAAATATTTGAGTGCCGCCTGTATGCTTATTACTGTGTCAGGTCTTGAAATTACAAACCACGAACACATGTAAGTTGACATCTGACTAAGTGTAAGAGCTGAAGAGGGTCCTGGTCAACTCTAAACTGTACAGATAACAAAGGAGGAGAATTTGTAACAATCAAAATGATTCCAGAATGTACTGACTAACTCAAGTGCCTGTGTGCCTATCACAAAAGAACCAACGGGAACTAACTTGACTTGGTTATAGCAAGGACTGAGAAAGTTATCAAATATCAGGTATCATTTCAGGGGTCGTTCATAATTCTAGAAAAGACTTTCATGTGAGGTAGTAAACCATTTATTAAGAAATGATTTTTTTTTATTTTAAAGATTTAATTGGGGAATTGGGAAAGGGGAACAGACAAGTTGCTGTCGTTTTGTTCTTCAGTCTAGTTGTGGAGGACGTCGCTTCACTGGCCCCTATTGGTATAATCATTGTGGTCTTCCCGGGTGAGGCAGATCGGTCACTGGCCTCTGAACAGCCGCTCACGGTGCTTTTGGCAGCTCACACCTGCTGCCGGCTGCTCACACTAGCTGCTGGCCACACATGGTAGCTTATGGCAGCCCACTGCAGCAGGGGCTGCAGCCTTCACCGTCGCCGGCAATTCATGGCAACCCAGCTCCAGGTCAAGCTATTGTTCACCATCTTAGCTGTAGAGGGCACTGTCACTGGCCCTCCTGTGGGATCCGAACCGGGGTCCTGCTGCTCAGAGATGGTGCCCCAACCCAGTTCCTAATCAACGCACCACTCGGCCGGCCCGAAATGATTTTGTTTTTGTACTATTTTTAAGTATCTGATTTGGATTAACCAAAATACTGAGCTAGATCATCTTAATTCTCATTTACAACATTAAATAAGGAAAACAAACAAAAAAAATAAGGTCTGACTTTTTACTGCTTTGTAATTGGGCTAGTACAAGGAAAAATAACAATTTAACAATGAAGCCAATGCATTTAGATTTACCTTTATATATGAATCCCGACAAAATTGAAATGAATAAGAAAAATTGGAAGGGAAACCCCATTGGTTAATGATCATAGCTTTTCAATGAGAACACTGCCTACATTATATCATATGTGTACATATAATTTATAAATGCATAAATTAGTTTTTATTCTTTATTTCAAAAAACATTTTATTATTTATTCTCCTGTGTGTCAGTAAAAGCCAAGAGGCTTGAATTGGTTAGCATTTCTTAGCAGTAGAGCAAACCTTGTTCCTATAAATTATAAATTATTTTTAGAACCCCAAAATTGGAATACTTGTCTTCTGTTCAGATTCATTTTAACTTATGTGTCAGTTTACTTTTTTAGCTTTTTTTTCCTGGGATTAGACTAATAACATTTTACTTTTTTATTGTAGTTACCACCGCCATGTGAATCTGCTTGCACAGTACCAACAGATGGTAAGATCAATATTCTGGTAAAATTACATTGAACATTATGTGTATGTGTGGGGAAATTGTATCTATAGGGAGGAAATCTTATATACCATAGCCATACAGTTTTAGAGTTCTGCAGTATATGTGGGAAGAAAGATGGCTGTGCATACCACCTTTAGTGTCATACACACCCCACCCACCCACCTACCCCCACCTTTATCACAGCAGTTTCCAAACCATGACCTACTGGTCTCCGGGGTCCAGGTAGATGACTTATGGACACTGGAGCAGGCTGGGCTCTGGGTTCCCATCTGGCCACAGCCTGCTTCACCCAGAAAACTGTTCTCCCCTTTAGATTTAGAATTCTCTGTAAGGTTCTTCTAGTGAGAATCGCATGTCTATATGATTAAGGAAGCCCAAAAGAAAACAATGATAAACTACCCATTTTTACTATAATGAAACTTTGCATGTATGAAAGTTTGTTTTAAGGTAATACGTAGTAGGATACATTAAAGCAAGTATATTATTTGTTATATATTTGGTATATTTTGATTCTTAACAAGTATTCTGTTTTTCTTTTTTCTGAATATAGTGGATAAGTGGTTCCATCACCAGAAAAACTAAGGAAATTTCTCTGGAATACAAGCTGATATTGCTGCATCCTATTCATCTGGACATAGTAGATGCAAAAGTAGTGGCTTTTCAGAGCTTTAAATTTATAGAACTTACCTAACAAAGCAAATTCTGCTGTGACCAATCTAATATATTCAAAGTGTTATCCATTTGAAAGCATTTTTCCATATTTCAACTAAGATAACTTTCAGTACATGCTTGAATATGAAAGCAGTTGTTGTAATTTGGAAGTCATTTGTGAATAAATATGCAAGATAAGTACATATTAGATGTATATGTTTACCAGGTGTTAGGAATTAGGAAATAAAATTATTTTGCTGAAGCTTGGCTTATGATAGTTTTATTTTAATCTGAAGCCAGACATTACCACACAGGCATGCGTGCTACTTGGTATTTGTTTTCTCTCAATGATCTTACAATTCAATTTTATAATTATTAGACTAAAACTTGATTTATTTTTAGTAAGATGAGAATGAAATCCCATATTTTACAGTAGTCTTGATACTATGCTCTTACTTAATTCCTAGCACCCCACTATAAAGCAAAAGTTTTTTAATTTATAGCATGTTAGCAGAAAGCACACTCCAGCTCCCCTTTTGAAATGATACAGCTACTTTTTTTACTTCTCTAAGCGCCTAATTGGATCCTTAAGTCATTTACATTATATTCTGAGTTATCAGCCAGAATAACTTTGTGGTTAGGTTCATGGGCTTTGGACCTCACCACATCTGAATTTTTAATCCTAGCCCATCTACTTATTAGCTATGTAATCTTCAGTTACCAACCACCCAACTTCAGTTCCCTCATTTGTAAAAGAGGTTACTCATGTAATGTGTTAAGCATTCAGATTATTTTAGTTGAAATTTTTACTGAGATTATTGTTAATTCACATGCAGTTAGTTGTAAGAAATAATACAGAGAGATTCTCTCTATACCTTTCCCAGTTTCCCCCAAAGGTAAGATTTTGTAAAACTAGAGTATAATATCATAGCCAGGACAACAATGGCTTTTATACAATCCACTGATCTTATTCAGATTTCCCAGTTTTACTTGTAGTCATTTGAATGAAACACCTATATTGTTCTATACAAGTTAATCACCTATGTAGGTTCCTGTATCCTATAAGACACTGATTTCTTCTATGTTTTTCTCTAAAAGTTTTACAGTTTTACATTTAAGCCTATGGTCCAATTTGAGTTTATTTGGGTATAAGGTATGAGGTTTAGATCAAGTTTCTTTTTTTTCCCCTATAATGTCCAGTTGCTCCAGCACCATTTGTCAAAAGGTTATTCTCCTCCATTAAATTAGTTTTGTGCTTTTTTTTTAGCTGAGCCATCCTGCCACCTGTTGGCAGCTCAGCGGCAGCTCAGCTCGGGCCGGGAATCAAACCGGCGACCCTGTTGCTCAGAGCTCGCACTCTTGAGCGAGCTCTTAACCAACTGAGCCACTTGGCCCTAGTTTTGTGCTTTTGTTAAATATTAGTTGAGCATATATGTGTGGGTCTATTTCTGGGTCCTCTGTTCCACAGATCTGTGTGTATGTCCCTCTGACAGCACCATACTCTCTGGATTACTGTAGCTATATGGTAAGCCTTACTACCAAATAGAGTACTTCCTCCTGCTTTATTATAATTGTTTAATTAGTCAAGGGCCTGTGCCTTTTCATTTAAATTTTAAAATAAGTTTTACTATGTCTATTGTCTATGCTTATAAAAAATTTTTACTGGGCCGGCTGAGTGGTGCTTTGGTTAGGATTTGGCTTGGGACACCAGCTCTGAGCAGCAGGGCCCCGGTTTGGATCCCACATGAGGGCCAGTGACGCTGCACCCTCTACAGCTAAAATGGTGAACAACAGCTCAACCTGGAGCTGGGCTGCTGTGAGTCACCGGTGACGGCGTAGGCTGCAGTGGGGCTGGCTGGCAGCAGGCATGAGCTGCCATCAGCTGCTGAGAGTGGCCATCCAATAGCCGGCGATCGACTGCCTCCCCTGGGAAGAGCTTAATGATAATACCAACATGGGCCAATGAAGCAATGTTCTTTACAACTAGACTGAAGAACAAAAGGACAGTAACTTGTCTGTTCCCCTTCCCCGATTCCCACTATATTACCATGGTCAAATAACTTAACCTATTTGAGCACTAGTTTTCCCATCTGTAAAATGGTGATAACACCATCACCATAGGGTGGAGGGCCTGTAGGTGAAGGACTCAGCCTGGTGCCAGGGTCATAGTAGGTGCTTAGTGCAGGCTAGCTGTTCATTATTGTAATCTCCACAACACTGAGTGTGATCAGTGCATTTCTTTCAGGAATCTGAAGCATTGGCCCAGTTGTGTAAAGCATCTGAATAAGAACTCAGATTGGAAATTCAAAATTCATTCTCACCATCACTAAGCCCAGGCCTGCATGTGCTGCAGCTGTAACGGCAATTTTGTCCTATCTAATCAGCATATTTATTTGCGCTGCAAGGGCTTAAGTTGTGCTTTTGCACAGAATGTTCTTCACATTTAGAAAAAGCTGCCCCTACTGCTTCCTGGGAATCTAGGCAGAAGGGAACTTGCTTTTACACTGACAAGAGTGCTGTGCAAATTGTTTCATGGCGAACAAGTATTTCTTGAGTTATAAAGTTGAGTCAGTTGTCACATCATTCATTGCTTTTTCTGTTGGTCTTTGGGATCTTTCCCTTTTAGTTATTACAAAACCTGTAAATTAACAAAATATTCACCAAGAGTAAGGTTAAGCAACGAAAATCACAAGGCTACATGGCAATCTGAATTTAAAAAGAAGCGTGAGAGCAATTTGGCAATCTCTTATCAAAATTTTAAATTCATACTTATAAGTCGGCATTTCTGCTCTAAGAATTTATTCTCGTTGAATAAGAATACCAAGCACACAGGATATGGCAGCTTTGTTTAATAGAGCAAAACCTGGAAAAATAGATATCTACCTGCCCAATTGAGGAATGGCTAAATATATTATCTGTACCATGTAGCAGTTAAAGAATGAAGTCACTGCATGGGCTGATACGGGAAAGAAGTTCAAATTCTGTAAGTGAGAAGAGAAAGTGGTAATACTCCATAGCAGGCAACTATGGCCTGTGGGCCAAATCCAGCTTGCAGCCTGTTTGATAATAAAGTTTAATTGGGACACAGCCACACCCATTCATTTATGAATTGCTGTGGTTGCCTTCGAGCTATAATGGAGAGTTTAGTAGTTGGGGCAGAGACCATATGGTTTACAAAGCCAAAAATATTTATATTTGACACTTGACCGAAAATGTTGGCCAACCCCGGCTCTACCCATGACTCTATTTGTGTTTTTCACGAAGGAAGGGTTGGGGAAAACAGATACATTAATGATATGGTTGTATGAGCATAGACAATTTCTGAAACAACAACAAACCACAGATAATGATTATCTAAAGGGGGTAGGAATATAGAGTTAAGCACGGAAGAAGTGGGGTCCTGGGAGCTTCCTTCCATTTTATATGCTTCTGTGCTCTGAACTGTTTTTCTAAAAGCATGTATAACGTTATTTAAAAATTTTTAAAGAAAATCAAGTGAAGTAGGAGAAGACCAATGGACAGTGCTTAACACAACTAGTGGCAGAGGGCTCCCAGCTCAAGGTAGGCTCTCTCCCAGTGGTCCCTGAACCACTAGCACTGAGTCACCTAAGAGATCTGTAAAAAAAAGTGTGTGTGTGTGACCTGAATTGGAACTGGGAGGGGCCAGGCCCTGGAATCTAATTTTTAACCAGTTCTCACAGGTGATTCTAACAATGATGTTTCAAACCACTGCCCTAGTCATAAATCTCAGAGATCAGCAAAAGGTTTCTTGGGGGTTGTAACGTAATCAGCATGAGATAAGCCAGCAAACCTCAGCCACAACAATATAGTTCCCATTGGTGAGTACTTCATAAACGTCAGGGCCTGTGCTATAGGCTTTATGCACTTCATCTTGTTTAATTCTCCTGCAACACTGAGCCAGAGAGGCTCAGTGACTTGCCTGAGGTCTCTGAGTGCCAGGTCACCAGGTGCGGTGTGAGGGACTGGGAATGCATGAGAAAGAGACACCATCCCAGCCCCACTGCCTCCCTGCAGTGACAAGTTAGTCTCCCCTCCCACCTGGCAAGCCACGTAATGCCGGCTGCACTTTGACTTTGAAAGTGCACCAGCTGGGGCACTTTCAGCACACAACTTTCACACTTGCAAAATGAGAGGCTCAACAGGGTCCCTTGGAAGGCCTCTTCCAGCTCTGATGTCCATGCTTCCAGGTCACAGCAGCCTTGTCGCTCACTCTCGCTCACTCTCTGCATAGTGTGGATGTTCCACTGTGACCTGCGTGCCGCCCCCTGAGGCCATCCTCCTCTGGCGTCCTCCTGGCCGTCCCTGTGGAGGCAGATGGAGTCACTGTCCTGAATTCCTGCTTGACGTCTATTTCCCTGGCATCGCTGTCTCTCCTCCCAACTCATTAAAATACATCATGTTTATACCCTGTCATCCAGCATTGCATGGAGTCCATAGTAGGAATTCAGTAAATACCTTCTGATTTCTTCTCAAATGGCTTTTCAAACAGTCAGGAGCATAACCACAGTGCGCTCCTCAAGGTGATGGAGCCAGCAGCTGGTGACTGCCTGCCTGCTTCCACAAAGAAGAGGTTTTGAGTGTGCACCAGCATGGAGTGAGGTGTCATTTTCCACACAAAGGATCCAGCATCCCACGGGGACACAGCCTGTGTCAAGGGGTATGAAAGCCACAGGGGAGACACTCTGGGGCTTCAATTTTACTGGAGAGTAAATAATCACAAGGTTATTCACAGGTTAAAAAATACAGTCATGTTAATGATTTTGAGTGCCAGTTTTCCATGAATTTTAAAAAGTAACATGCTATTCCAGGGCGATTTACTCTTTGTGGCTTCTGTCTTAGGGCTATGCTACCAGGTCCCTGGAGTCAAAGACGATTCTCTTGTGGTTTTGAAGTAAATTCAAAGGCAGAGTGTGCAGGAAACAGCTCTGCTGGGAGTTGTGAGACCTGAGTTCTTGCTCCAGCTGTGTGTGACATCAGCAGATCTTTTCACCTTTCTGGGCCTCAGTTTCCTGATTTTGTATAATAAGGTAGTGGGCACCTACCGTGAGCATAGATTTTAACATGAAAGATGTCATGTGTCTATTATTCTGATATAGTCCAGGCGAGCAGGAATGAGGTAGAAAAAAAAAATTGTCTCTGTGACTAAAGGGGATAAGGTGGGTGGCTGGGGGAATAATATCAAGTTTCAATCCACATTTGCATGATTCTGAACTTGAACTTGCAGACCACAAAGAATGGTCA